TGAGAGAAGCTCTTTGAACTTACACCTCCATTACAGTACTAATCACACTGCATTTTATTTGCAAAGCTGCCTCTACTTCCTGTGACTTCTTTGTGGCAAGGTAGATGTTTCAATAAAAGTTTACTGAATAAAAGTATAAGTAGTTAAGGACTAGAGAAGAAAGGGGAAAAAAGAGAAAATAAACCAGTAGAGAAGTAGTTGAGTAGGGAGATTACGATGGTCATTGTTAATCCAGCATAAATAAAATACCCGGAAATATGAGCCTATTTTGTACAGGAATTGATCTAAAGTATTCCAGATCCAGAGAAAAAAGTACCTGGATACAACCCTGGTAGAACAGACTAAAGAGTAAAGGAAACTGAAGCTGATAGTTCTTCAACAGTTCAGCTCCCCTGAAGAGGGGTCAGACCACTTGTTTTAGACACTGAGAGAAATCAGCCAAATAATGAAGACAGCAACATAAACTGAATTCAGAGACATATTAATTTTGTATAAATATATGATTTTCTAGCATCTAGAAAACTGATGAGTAATGAATCCAGCTGCCAGAGACTCCCTGATGAAGCTAATTAAACAGTGAAAGATCAGAAAATGGAGCAATTTAAAGCAGTTTGCTATTAGTTTAATAGTGTCAGAATCTCTAAATAATAATAGTAAAAAAGGCATAATTAATAGTGTATAAACCAGGGAGCTAAGGGATTCCTGTCTTAGAGTCTTCACCAATTTCCTTTGTGAGGTTCACTAAGTAATTTTTGTTACTAATTAGTAAGAATAACTAGGTCAGGCATGGTGGCTCATGCCTGTAATCCCAGCACTTTGGGAGGCCGAGGCGGGCAGATCACCTGAGGTTAAGAGTTCGAGACAAGCCTGGCCAACATGGTGAAACCCCAACTCTACTAAAAATATAAAAATTAGCTGGCTATGGTGGCAGGCGCTTGTAATCCCAGCTACTTGGGAGGCTGAGGCATAAGAGTTTCTTGAACCTAGGAGGCAGAGGTTGCAGTGAGCCAAGATCACGCCACTGCACTCCAGCCTGGGTGACAAGAGTGAGACTTCATCTCAAAAACAAACAAACAAACAAAAAGAGTAACTAGCATTATTGAGTGGAGGTTAATATTAAGAGCCCTAACAGCTGGAGAGAAGACTTAGGCTGCAGTTGGCTACTAAACGTGATTGACCATGAGCAAATGATTCAGTTTTAATTGTGTACTTGATGTGCAGTACTTCCTCTTTGTACAAAGAGTTAGCTACTCACAATTTATCACAATAAGGATTAAATGAAATTGCTTTGAGTTTTTAAAATAACAGTTCAATTAAAACTAAGACACCATGACAAAAATTGTCTAGAGTTTGTAGTACTGGCATAATGAATATGTGGTTATTCCATAAATGATACTCAACTCAATACCCATTCCCTAAGAGTAACAATGATAATAAAACTATTCCCTCGTAGTTACATGGCTTTTCACTTTTCTCAAAGCACTTTCACAAATACTAGTCAAACGAATAGCCTTATATATGATCTGACCACTCCTTGTACAAGCATATTAAGTGTGGGTTTATTTTGCAGGGAATGCTCCTATCTCCTCCCTAGTGCTAATAATATACTCCCTTTTATTTATATAGTTTTTTTTTTTCCTTGAGACAAGATCTCACTCTGTCACCAAGGCTGTAGTGCAGTGGCGCAATCACAGCTCACTGCAGACTTGACCCCCTGGGCTCAAATGGATCTCCTGCCACAGCCCTCAGTAGCTGCGACTGCAGGCATGCTCAGCTGATTTTCACACGCCTGGCTGATTTTCGTATTTTTTGCAGAGATGGGGTTTCACCATGTTGCCCAAGGCTCAAGCAATCTGCCTACCTCAG